GGGCTGGGGACGGTGGGGAGGGAGGGTATTACCGGAGGGCCGCCGCCGCCGCCGCGTCCTAGCGCTGGTGGCTGCTGCAGCAACCCGGCTCTGCTGGAGGGTCCGTGCGGCGTGGTGTAGAGGAGGCTGCCGGCGGTCTGCTCCGCGCCGGGGGCACTGGGGAGTAGGGGGCCGGCGGCGACCGTGCCACTTTGGAGGGAGGAGGAACAGGAGGTGGTGGAAGTGTTCGTGGTGAGGATCTGGATGTATGCGCCCGGGGCGGCGGCAGCGGCGGCGGCGAAGCCGGGGCTGGCTAGCAGTGCCCTTTTGTCCATGGAGGCTGCAGCGGCGGCGGCGACGACAGCCGCCCCCTCCCCACCCCCGGCGGTCACCAGATACTGCTCCAGGGCGGGCTGGATCCCCTTTCTCATCTCTCGCTCCTGCTCTTTTTAGTGTTATGGAATATTAACGTATTGCTTTCAATTTCTTTATTATTTGCAGTCGGAGTTTCCAAGTCTCTCTTTCTCTCCTCCCCGCCCGACGCTTCCGAGCCCCCTCTCTCTCTTTTCTTTTTATTTTTCCGCACCGCACAAGCCCCGGGAGCCAAAAATAATCGGGGCTCTGGAGAGAGGAGGGTCCCGGCCGCAAGGATATCAGGCCCCGAGGGGGGATGGAGGCGTCGGGGGCAGCCGATGCAACGGATTGAGCGGCGGCGGCAGCCCGGGTGCTGCGGCCGGCAGCTGAAAAATGGCTCCAGGAAGCTGCTGCTGACAATGAATGAAGGGATACGGTTTACGCGCCAAGGTCCTCCCGCGAAACTCGGATTTCCCGCCGGCTTTTCAAACCATATTTGCATATCCCCGCCCCTCAACCCGCCGAGGATCGTTCCCACAGCCCATTGGGTCTCTACCTCCTTACCTCAGCCCCAATCGTGGAGCAAGGCCGCGAGTAGTTGGTTTCGATTGGCTGCCGTGCATCATGGTTACCGGGGCGACAGGGGCTCTATTTGCATAGGCCGCTTTGATTGGTGGGGAACAGAGGAGAGTTTTTAGGGGGTGGGGCAAAATCTTCCCTTCTCTCCCACGGAAGACCACGCCTGGTCCAGGCCCCGCCCCTGTCCCCGCCCGCCGGGCCGGCACTGCTGACCTGGGCAGGGACTCCGCACCCCGCAGACTCAGTGTGGATCTAGTGTGGAGCCCAAGTTTCGCTTTTGGAAATATTCAAGGTGACCAAGGGGACAGTTTCGGGAACTCTCTTTCCTTTGACCGGTCGGTGTAATCGATGAAAAACTGCAAGAGATTCTCCCCAATATGTGCCAAAGGCAAGTCTGACCATGCGGACGATGCCTGGCAGGTGGGAACCGAGCCCTTTAAATCGTGGGGTTTCCCCTTCCTGAAATTCAACCAATGCCGCAGCGAGAGCTGAACCCGAGGCGAGGCTGATAGACAGAAGCATATGGGCAGACAGAATCGTGGGGGCAGAAGGTTTGGCTGACGCGATTGTGGGCACCGTTTAGCTTCCATTCCAGATCATTCCTGCTCGCTTGGTTGTTAGCCTAGATCTGTTTTAAGTAAAAAATTAACTCTTTGTCAAATGAAATCTTACCACCGTATTGGTTGGATCCCAACAGGCAACTCCTCTGGCCCAGAAACACCCAGAGCAGTTAATCAGGGCTAACCTAGAACTGATCTGCAGGCTTCTAATCCCCCCAGCAGTAATCCCAAGAAGTACACGCTTCCATGATGACGTGGTGCTCCCCACGAATGCCGCCGCGGCACCAGCGCTCCACACCCTCGGTTTCCTAGGAAGTTTTCCCACCGAAAGCAAAACGGTGACCCAAATCCATTCCAAAATACTTTAAGAAATATATATATTTTTTCCTTTCAGTAACTAGAAGTTGTCAGTAGGGAAGTATTGTAAATGATTATCAAGCTGACTTCTGTATTGGTGCAAGTTTTCAAGGGTCTTAAAATTGAAACCTCTTGTGAGGCTGAGTGGGAACAGGGACCCCTGCAGGAATGTGGGGAGAGGCCTAAATGTGAAGACCACGTCATCATTTACAGTTCCAGCCACTGAGAATCCTGTAAAGCAGCTGAAATAGTGCACGCATGACAAAGAAGATGGCAATATCTTGAGCCTTTTCACCATTATTATTATTTTCCCCAAACTCATATACTCAGTCCTATGAAGGGCCAGACCACATAGGTCAGTTCAGGCTAAGGCTCCTTAATACTTCAGTTGTGTTCCCTTTTCTGATACTGGATGAATTAAAAGTACTATTAAACCCAGCACCAGGCTCAGGAATATTTTGGTTTTGAATTTAACAAGCAGAAGATTGATGGCCTAGGATGCAAACATTTGTTGACACTGATAGCACTGATTCAATCTTCAGGGCAGATAATGGTGGTATTCAAAGACAGGAATTCCTGGTTGAGCTAGAGGTATAATAGCACGTCCTTTATCGCATTCCATCAGTGTCGCTTTCCACTACAGTAGTGTAGCTGCTTGTACTTATCATCTGCATAATATCACTGAAGTATGCAGTCAGTGGATGTGGGTGGGGGCGAGTTATGGAGAAGGGACGGTGCCACTCATACAGTTATAGACCTGCATCTTACATTAGAAACAACCTGGGACCCCAGCCTTGTGAAAACTTGGGTTCTCCATAAGTGATTGCAGTAAGAAAAATATAACAGCCGCAAGAAAGCAAGAGTTCACAATCCAGAGCCATACTCGTGATTCTGGTTTAGCAATGTTTTGAATGTAGGGTCTTTGGTAGAAAAAACAGATGCTTCGGCATTTTGTGTCTGGTGAACTCCAGGGTGAGGAGGAGAAGGGAGGCATTCCAAGAGACAAGAGGAGGTATTGGAAGATAACGTGTTAAAATGTGAGACGGGCTATTTGTCTGTCGAGAGGTAGCATGTAAAGAGAATGGGCTTTTGAGTCAGAATGGTCTGGGTTTCTATTCTAGCCCTGTCACCTATTTGCTATGTAGCTTTAATCTTCAAAAGCCTCTTTTCTCATAGGTTAAATGGGAACTCACATTGCAATACCCATGTTGCAAGGTTGTGTTGAAAAGAAGCAATAATAAATGTAAAGTGTCAGTCAAGGAGCAGATATTCAATAAGAGGTGGCGCTTTATGATTCTGCTTATTTGTGCAATCATATTGTAGTTCATTCTGACGCCCAGTTTCTAATCTTCCTAGAGCCCCTGGACGTCTACTTGCTGGAGCAGCTTAGCTTTGTCCCAGACGAGGAGTGCAGTCATGTCCCCGTTAGTAGGGATTAGAGAATCCTGATTCAGAAACTCGGGATAATAACAAAAGTCAGTTCTGCTGTTCATCCCACTCCAACCCGCTCATCTGTTAGTGGCCAGCTTCTGTCTGCTTCCTAAGTCTCAGTGTTCCTTACTTCTCCTTACATGAATTTCTGTAGTGCTAAGTCAGGCCCTCTCTCCTTTTGCCCTGATAGCTTGTTCTCCAAGAATTACCCTGTTTTGTTGGTAGAATGGGGCCCCCCAAAAAATATATGTCTACATTTTAATCTTCATAAGTGGAGATGGTGATCTTATTTGGGAAAAAGGTCTCTGGTGATGTAGCTAAGAATCTCAAGATAAGATTATTCTGAATTATCTCACAGTGAGTTCTAAGCCCATCACAGTGTCCTTAAAACAGACACCCAGAGAGAAGGAGAAACACAGGGGCAGAAATCGGAGTGAGCAGGTACAAGCCATCAGAGGCTGGAGGAGGTGAGGAACAGATTCTCTGCCAGAGCCTCTGGAGAGAGCAGAGCCCTGCCAACACCTTGGTTTGGTCTTCTGGCCTGCGGAGCTGTGATAGAATGCATGACTGTTGTTTTATGCTACCACATTTGTGGTGATTTGCGGGGCAGCCTAGGAAACCACACAGCCTGTTATCCTGCCTACCTGAATCTTCAAACCTCTCAACTCCTGCTCACTTCATTTTTATTGAGACAAGATACCCTCCTTGCTGGACACCAATGATACAAATTGCTAATCTGAGATATAGACACTGTTGATATCTCAGATTAGCAATTTGTATTGACCTGCTGAGGAGAAAATGCAGATTCACCTAAGAAGCCTGTGAAAATGTATGAGCTTCCACCTGCTGAATCAGAATCCTTTGAGGGAGGGCACAAGAGTCTGCATTTCACAAGTCCTTCTAGGTAATTCTTTTTGAGCACTAGAGACTGAGGATCAGGCCTTCATCTAACTTTTGACTTCTTCCTGTTATTTCCCATTGCTACAACTAGAATTGCCACTCCAGTATCCAGAGTGTCTGTGTGTGTGTATGTGTATGTGTGTGTGTGTCTGTGTATATGTGTGTGTGTGTATATGTGTGTGTGTATAGTATGTGTGTGTGTATGTGTGTGTGTGTGTGTGTGTGTGTGTGTATAATATATATATATATATATTCTAGCTTTTTGTCTCTGTGACCAAAATACCTGATGAGAACAACGTAGTACAGGGAAAGTGTATTTTGGCTCATGGATTCAGAGTCCATAGTCCGCCAACTCCAGCACTCTGCATCCGAGATGAGACAGAACATCAGGTGGAGGGGTGTGGCAGGGAAAAGCTGCTCAGCTAATAGCAGCTGGAAAGTGGAGAGGGTGGGGGAGGAAGGGACCAGGGACAGAGATAGATAGATACCTAAATAAAGTTTGGTATAACAATCTTCTCTGAAAGTCTTCATTTTCAATTTAGAAATATAATTTTGCCAACGTCCATAAGGTCTATAGAAATTTCTCCCAAGAAACAATCCCATTCAGCAGTTCTGTGATAACTCAATATTAAATCTTCAGATGGAAAAATTATATTCTAGGTGATTAAGGAAACTGAACATAAGTATAACGAGAGTTTAAATTGTGCCTTTCATTTAGCTTAGCCAAATCTGCTTGCCACATCAGATTTAGAGTATGTAGCTTTAAATTTTAAGATCTGGAGAAAACTAGTTTAAGAGCTTAAGGCTTTTATATGGCAATTCAGTTAGTTGCCCACAATGAAATAACATTCTCTGTTTCATCTTCCTGGTTTGGAAAAAAAAGAGGAGCATATTCTTAAGTCCTTACCACATCAAACACTAATAACAAAATTTCTAAGAGCATATCCTAGGAAATTGACCATTATAGTAATTGTAGACAGTGGTCTATATACCAGTGTGGAATTTTTTGTCTTCAGTTCTTTGACTAGGAAGGTCCTGTTTGGATAGAGCTTCCATGTTTTTAAATAGACCCGGGATGAGCTTCTGGCATATAGCAATGTTCGGGATCCCAGCTTTGGAGTCCATTCTCTGGTTGGGATCCAAGAATCTGCATTCTGAGCAGGGTAACTTCAGTGCAGGTGGCCACAGAACACACTTTGAGAAACACCTCCGTGTAGAGTCTCTGCACTACAAATTGGCTTCTTTGGCAACTGTGGTATAGAACACTCTCTTCTATGCAACCCATGTCACCATTATTAACAGAAGGGTTTGTTCAGGTTGTACTGTGACTGGGAATTGCTTCTTTTGCTAAAGTTCTTGTTCAGTTAACAAGAAATGTGATTCAGACAAAATATACCAGGTGGAAAAGAAAGTTATTACACCAAAGGATGCATTTCCTTGTTGTTTTGAAACAGATTCTTAAAATACAGATAAATAAAACCAAACCGAATAAATATATGGCTTCATGGGTTTTTATAAGATGAACACCCTTGTAATGAGCAGCCAGGTACAAAAATAGAACTTTCCCTGCCCCCTTGAACTTCTTTTCATAAACCCCATCCTGAGCACAACCCCTTCC